CCACCACTTCCCATAGTTTCCCATACCGCATAGACCACCCTTCGGGTGATAAGGAGGTGAGGGGGGGGGAGGGACCAACGTCGCACTCGATTGATCTCACTATCGAACTCACAATCGATCTGAACCGATAGATCTCACACTCGATCTGACTATCGATCCAACAATCAATCTCACAATCGATCCCACAATCGATCTCACATTCGGTCTCGCTATTGATCTCACAATCGGTATCACAATCGATCTCGCATTCGATCTGACTATCGATCTCACTATCAAACTCACTATCGATCTCATTATCGATCTCACATTCGGTCTCACTATCGATCTCACTATCGATGTCACAATCGATCTCATAATCGATCTAGCATTCGGCCTCACTATCGATTTCGTTATCGAACTCACTCTCGATCTCATTATCGATCTCACTATCGATCTCACTATCGATATCACAACCGAACTCGCAATCGATCTCACATTCGGTCTCATCATCGATCTCACTATCGAAACCACTACCGATCTCATTACCGAAAGTGATCTCACTACTAATTCAATCGATCGATCTCACAATCGATATGACTATCGATCTCACAATAGAATCCACAATCGATCTCACATTCGGTCTCACTATCGATCTCACTATCGATATCACAATCGATCTCACAATCGATATCCCATTCGGTCTCACAATCGATCTCACAATCGATCTCATTATCGATCTCACATTCGGTATCACAATCGATCTCGCAATCGATCTCACAAGCGATCTGACATTCGATCTCACGTTCGATCTCACGATCGATATCACTACCGATCTCACTATCGATCATCAAAACGAAACATCAACATCGTCCAGCGGGACACCGGCGGGACACCGCGTGGCCCCGGCCGCCCGGAAGGGAATCATTTCGTCCGGCCGGGCCTCAGCCACACGGGACACCAGCGGGACACCGGCGGGACACCGCGGGGCCCCGGCCGCCCGGAAGGGAATCATTTGGTCCGTCCGCGCCTCAGCCACAGGAGACTTTCTCTCGCCCGCCCACGCAGCTTCGCCTCGCCCGCACGCACGGCACGCACGAACACGAAACCGAAATCGATTTCCCGGTAGGGGGGCTCTCCGTTCCACTTCGATCTCACCCCCTCACCTCCGATTTTCCTGGGGATCGACGATTAATTGTGTCTGTGTGTGTTTTTCCCCTCCTGAAAGATGGCGGCTCGAGGTGTGGAATGCACACCGACTCCCTTCGCGGCTGGCCTCGTCCCATCCGACCCTCATCCCTGGTGCTCTCGACCCCCTTCTCTGGGCAGGCTTCTCATCGGGAGCTGCTTTCCGACGACCCTGGGGCCCGGCAGCGGCCCCCAGAAACCCAAACATTGCGACATAACACTGGCGCCCTCTTTTCTGAGGTAGGGGTCCGCCCGCGTCCACCCCCGGGGGCGCGGCCCTGTCCGAAGTGCCCCCGTGTAGAACGGTGGGAGTGGGAGGCGGGGGACCAGCCTCGCCATGAGGCACGAGGCCTTTGAGGGCAAAGTGCTCTCGGCCCCGGGGCTTTCCTAGAGGCCTCCGACATGGGGCCCGGGCGGGGTCGGAGGATCTCACCGCATCGCCAATGCATCGCCGATGCATCGCTGACGGTGCTGCATCCGCGACGTCGGCGAGGAGAGCATCGGGTTTCCGCATCGTGCCGCATCGGCGACGCATCGGCGATGCATCGGCGATGCATCGGCGATGCAGCGCGATCATCCGACCCCATGTGCTCGGGCCCCATCTGGGAGGACCAACTTACCCTGACCCCGGGACTGGCCCGTCATCTTGGGCAGTTCTGTGACGGTCCTGGGGCCCGTGGAGGGCCCCATGGGGTCAACAAAAACATGGCAGCAACGACTTCCAGGACCTCTCTGACCCCTCGGCGGCCAGCACAGGGTGGGAGGGGAAGCGAGAGGGGGCGTGCCTTCTCCGACGGCTCGGAAGTCCTCCAGCTGAATGACAAGTTTTCAAAGCCTTCTAAGACGAAGCCAGGACGAAGATAACATCGGGTGAAGATAAATGGAGGATCTCTGATCCAGCGGCCTTGGAGGATGTCTCGGGCGCCGCGGCTTTCTCAGAGCGTTCCGGAACGCTTTGAGCGCGTCCTGGAACGCTCTGGAACAGATTTATCCTCGTCCAAGCCCCCCCCGAAGAAGGCTCGGAAGTCTTCTAGCTTCTGAGAAGCCCCGCCGCCTTCTGAGAAGGCCTTCTCCTTCTCACTTCCCCCCCTCGCTCGCAGCCGAACCTCCAGGACCTGCTTCTTTCATGCTGACTCCCGCTCCCCTACCAGGGGGCACGACGACCGATAGGGGGCCACATGTGAACCCTGCCCCTACCCCCACGATTTCTGAGGGGGAGGGGGTTGGTCACTTCGCTCGGGAGCTCCCGAACGAAGTGAACCCCACCCTCCCCCTCAGAAATCGTGGGGGGTAGGGGCAGGGTTCACATGTGGCCCCCAAACCGAGACGGCTATGAAGACCAAGGTCGCGACGCGGCGTCCGCGACGACGACGACGACGACGACGACGACGCGGCCCTCCCCTGGCCCCGCAGGGCCGTGGCGGAGAGGGACGTGGCGGCCTTGACCCCGAGGAGGGAGGCTGGGAGGCGTGGCGGGAGGGAGGACCTCCTCCTGCTCCTCCCCCGTGCTTCCCTCCTCCTCCTCCTCCTCCTCGTCCTCCTCCTCCTCCTCGTCCTCCTCCTCCTCCTCCTCCTCCTCCTCCTCCTCCTCCCCTTCCTTGTCCTCTCCTTTCCCTCCTTCTCCTTCCCCTCTCTTCCTCCTTTTCCCCTTCCCTCTCCACCTCCTCTTTCTCTTCCTCATCCTCATGCTCCTCCACGACCTTCTCCTCCTGATCCCCCTCCTCCTCCTTCTCCCTCTGCTCCTCTGAGGGAGGGAGGAGGAACACGATGAGGATCACAATTGCATATGAAGTCTCAATGGATCTCTGACGGGTCTGAGGCGGATGCGTGGGGTTCCTAGGGGTTCTGCGGGCTTCCGTGAGGGCGTGAAGGAGGGATGAGGACGAGGAGGAAAGGGATGAGGATGAGCAGGGGAAGGACGAGCATGAATAGGAACCAGGGGTGGGAGGCGGAGGAGGAATGAGGGAGGAAGGGGATGGGGCATGAGGACGGTGAGGAGGGGAGGGAATGAGGTGAATGAGGAGGACGGGGGAGGAGGAGGTGAAGGAATATGACAAGGAAGACGAGGCAGGAGAAGAAGGAAGAGACGGGAAAAGGTGGAAGGGGAAGTGGATGACAAGTTCAACCACTCGCCGAACGTTTCACGTTAAACCGCGCGGCTGACCTGCGGCGCACGTCTCCCTGAGTAGAGGCGGGAGAATGCGCAACTCATGCACGTGCTTGCGCAAAGGACCGAGGCTCAGATACGCGCTCAGGGGGGTCCTTCCTTTGATTATCTCTCTCCTCCCAGTCTCCGCGAAGTGAGCGCTCGGGTTCTGCCGCCCGCCCGAGAGAGGCCTCGGGCTGACAGGCGGAAACCCGTCGCGCAAATATCCTCGAATTCGGCGCCGCGGGCCAGCGGAGGTGCCGGCGCCTCAGGTGCGGAGGCGGGATGCGGCCAGGCAGCGTCAGATGCTAAGGTCCGAGGGCGCGCTGGTCAGAGAGGAACGAGGCTCCTGGGGGAACAAACAAGAATGAGGGGCAACGATAGGGGGGGATAGGGATAGGGGGGAAATTTCGGCCTGGGATCGGCGATACATCGCCGATGGATCGGCGATAGGCCCTCGACGGTGAATCCGCACCTTCCTGGGCAGGTTGGGGCGAGGCTATCGGGCCCCTATCGGCGATCAGTGGGCGATTGGGGGTCGATGCATCCCCCCCTATGCCTATCCCCCCTTATCGTTGCCCCTGGAAGAACCTGGCGGAGGACCCTGCCCCATGCCGGTGCGAGTAGCGCAGGATGTGGCCTTCTCATCATAGGCATCGCGCCGCCAATTGGATGAAGCTCGGGGATGTGCGGGTGGGGGTCCAGGGGCCGGGCACGCCGAGGCAGCCTGACCCCACTGCGGCGCGCGGTTCACAGTGACGCCGGTCATCGCGAGTGATATCCAGTGGCGCGAGAAGGTTGTTACCAGCTTCGAGAAGCATCGCTGACACCGCTCAAGTCAACGGCTCAATGAACATGTGTCCCGATGCCCCAGCAGTGTTCCCCACACCTCACGAACCAAACGTTCAAGAGCAACCTGTTTTGATGCCCTATGATATCGAAATGCACGTCACAAATGAGGGATGTGCAGAACTGGGCGTGGCGCCTCAGGCGTCCGCGTCCATTCGGGCCATAGGTGGAACTCCCTAGGAGAGCCTCGAAACCTGTGGGGTGTGCCGCAATGAGCGGGGCGGCGGCATGCGTCCGCGCCCACTGGGGCCGTGGGTGGAGCTCCTCCTCCTCCTCCTCCTCCTCATCCTCCTCCTCCTCCTCCGCCTCCTCCTCCTCCTCCTCCTCAGCCTCCTCCGAGCCACAAAACGTGCGGGGGGTGCGCCGAAGTGGGCTGGGCGGCGTCGTGCGAACGCATCGGCTAGGGCCGTGGGTGGAGCCCTGAAGGGCTCCGAACTGGCTGATTGGTGCGCCGGCGGTGGGCAAGGCGGCGGCATGCGAACACATCGGCTGGGGCCGTGGGTGGAGCTTCCCACGACGGGCACGAGACGTGTGCGGGGCGTCCTGAAATGAGCGGGGGGGGCCGTGGGTGGAGCTCCCTGTCGGCCGCGAAGCATGTGCGAGGTGCACCGGGGGCGGCAGCATGCGAGCGCACCCGCTGGGGCCGTAGGTGGAGGTCCCTGTAGGCCACGAAGCGTGTGAGGGGTGTGCCGAGATGGCCGGGGCGTCGGCAGGCGAATGCAGACGCTTGGGCCGTGGGTAGGAGGTCCCGCTGGGTCCACAAAACGTGCAAGGGGTGCAACGAAGTCAGCGGAGAGGCGCATGCGAACGCGCCAACTGGGGCCGTGGGCGGAGCTCCCTGTTAGGCCACGGAGCGTGTGCGGGGTGAGCCGAAGTGAGCGAGGAGGCGGCATGCGAGCGCACCTGCTGGGTCCGTGGGTGGGAGCTCCCTCGGGGTGCACGAAACGTGCGAGGTGTGCTGACAACTTCTCCTGGATACGCACCCGTCGCCTCTTTCGACAACGTGGATCTAGCAGGGCGGGACCTTACCGAGACCCATGCTAGGCCGCGCCTCCCTCGGTGCCGCCTGCGCAGCCGTCACCGCTTTCGCGAGCCCGTGGGGTCCAGCGGAGTCCTACCCAAGCCCAACCTGGGCCTCACCTCCCTAGGTGGCGTCATCAGCGCACAACTGTCGCCGCTTTCGTGAGCTCGTTGGTGGGTCAGTGGGGCGAGCTCCTACCTACACCAAAACTAGACCTCACCTCGCGGGGTGATGCCATGCAATTAGAGGAAGAAAACACGGCATGAACAGTTGGTTCTTCTTCGAACAATCGCCGCTTTCGTGGGCCTGTGGGGGGTCCTGCGGAAGGCAGGCCTATTGTACCGAGTTCGTGAGCAAGTTGGGTCCAGCGGAGCGCGGTACTGGTCATTGCCAAGCTGGACGTCGCCCCCGTGAGTGGCGCAACTTGTGCAAGCGTGTCGCCCCTTTCGTGAGCACGTGGGGGGGGGGCAGCCGAGTGAGGACCGACCCAGGCCCATACTAGATCTCGCCTCCCTCGGTGCTGTTACCTGCGCAAGCGTCGCCACTCTCGTGCGCCCGTATGTGGTCCAGCAGAGTGCGGTCGGACCCAGACAAGAACCATACCTCTTCCCCCTAGGTGGTGGCAACTGCACTTCTGCCCCCATATTCCTGGAGACTGGTGTGGGTTGCTTTGGGCGCTGGCCTACTCAGACCCGGGCTTGACCTCCCCCGCCTGTGGGGTGTCCAGCGGAATGCTGCCCTACCCAGACCCAAACTAGAACTCGCCTCGTCTGGGTGGTGCCAGTTGAGTAGCTGCGCAACTGTCACCACTTTCGTGATCCTGTGGGGATCCAGCGGGGTGAGGCCGTACCCACGCCCAAACTGGACCTCGCCTCCGTGGGCGGTGTTGACTATGCACATGCCGCCACATTCGTGCGCCTGAGCGGGGGGGGGCAGCGTAGCCTGTGTGTGTGTGTGTGGAACGAACAGGCTACCCATGCACGTAGCTTTCACACGGAACAATCTGCCCTGGTCAAATCAAATGGTCACTGGTTTTGGATGACATTGCCAGGCGTTGCAGATGGGTTGAGTACGTCTGTGTGTTTTGCTGCAGCTGCAAGACAACTTCCAAGACGGCATCCGAAAGTGTTTCTGCCAAACCCCCAGCATTCCTCGAACGTCGCCCCCCTCGCGCCGCTTCCTTCTTCAGAGGGCGTAAGAGCCACCCGCAGCAAACGCCAGACAAGGCTGCTTCATACGTGAACGCGCAGAGCCGTTCATTGATCGCCATCGGGGTGGTTCTTCGCCCCTCGATTCTGCGCGCCACCAAGCTCCAGCGCGGCTTGTGCGGCGTCGGAGATGGGGAGGGGGTCCTCCTCCTCCTCCTCCTCCTCCACTTCCTCCTCCTCTCCTGCTCCTCCTCCTCACCTTCGCCCTCCTCCTCCCTGTCCTCCACCTCCTTCCCCCCCTCCTGGCCATCGCTCGGACGTCCATTCCCTGTGTTTTTTTTTGGGGGTTTCGTGCGTGGCTTTTTCGCCAAATGGTCAAGGATCCTCCTCGATGGTCCTCGCCGAAAGAAAAATGCACACGCCCGAGCGATGCCAAGCCTCCTGCGCGCCGCCAGGCTCCAGCGCGGCCTGCTCGGCGTCGGCGATGCTCTGCCGCTGGGCTCGCTGCGACGCCGCCCGGGCGGAGAAGCGCGGCGCGAGGCCGTTGCAGTCTGGCTCGGCGGCGGAGCAGCCGGCGACCCACTCGCTGTCCTCGCGCGGAGGGCGCCTGCGCACCACCACCGTGCCCGGCTTGGGCAATCCTGGGCGCCGGCACGGCGTACGGTGAACACGTCCAGTAAGGGCGCGTGGTGAGGACGCAAGACCCTTGGAGGCCGAAGCTGCAGTATTCTGGGCGGCGAAATTGCCAGGGACGGGCCGCAGAGGCTGAGGCAGGCAAGGACCCAAGGGTGCCCTTGAAAAAGCCGTTTGTCCATACTCTGCGCGTTGACTGTACGCGCCCCCCTGGCCGAGGCCAGGAGCGTCCATCCACCCTTCCAGGGCCCCGGGTGGCCCCAGCCAGGCATGGTGGTGGTGCACAGGTGCCCTCTGCGGAGTCCTGCGTCCGGGCGAGGACCCCGCTGCCCAGGGCCCCCAGGGGATGCAGCCGCCAGAAACGCCACGACTGCACCGCGAAGCGCGCGTTCCACGCGATCCAGACGGTGCCGAGCAGGTACCAGAACCACCCCTCCAGGGTGGAGATCAGCTCCGTCGCGTCGTCCTGCGAGCACGTCGACGACACCCACTCGGGAGCGACCGTGGCAAAGGACGCCAGCATCGCCTCGAACACGATCACCAAGAACAGGATCGTGCACGCGTTCGCGTAGCAGTCAAACTGCGTGGAGGAGCCGCCTTTCGGCAACTTGCCCTGGACGGACATCCTGAACACGATGATCACTGGGAAGATGCCCAGGAATATCTCGGCGCGCTCCCAGAAGAGCTGGACCTTGACGGTGTAGACGGAGAAGCACAGGGACGTGATGAGACCGAGCATGAGCATGATGTTTATGACGTAGTAGCGCGCCTCGCGCCTGATGAGGATGCCACACATCACGGTATCCTCCAGGCTCGGGGCCTCGTGCCTGTCGAGGGTGGCAAATGCGGGCTGGCCGTGGACAGTCCACTCGTCCAGCTGCAGCTGCCCCTCGACCTCGCAGTACTGGAAGAAGAACGGCCGCCCGAGCTCGCCCCCGCCGCGCAGGCTCACGGAGATCGCGAGCCACTGCCAGTCGAAGGGAAAGAGCCGCACCTCCTGATCCATCCGCACCGTGCACTTGTAGAGCCTCTGGGCGGCCAGGTGCCCCGTCTCCGGGTCGACCACCTCGGGCGCGGAGCTGGCGTCCAGAATCTGCGACTGGATTGCGTTGGTGACCGCGATGTCGGGCACCGGCAGCTTGGCCTTCTTCCCCTTGGGCAGGCCCTTCGCGTCCGCGTCCAGCCACTCGAGCAGGACGCGGAACTTGCACTCGAAGGTGCCGCTCACCAGGTCCACGTTGCGCACCAGCCATATGCGGAAGGCGATGGAGACGACCTGCGTCTCCAGACCCGCCGACGGCCTCGCGGCCCACGGCAGCCGATCCGTGCTGCCGCGGCGCTCGGGCTCCCTGCCGTGCGCGAGCGGCAGCGCTCGGAGCCGAGCCAGCGGGCCCAGCGGAGCCCCGGGGTGCCGCTGCACGCCCCCGCGCGGCCCCAGGCACTTCAGGAGCAGGGAGGCGAGGCCGCAGCCGAGGAGCCTGAAGGGGCCCTGGGACGCACGAATAAACACACACACAGATAGAAAGATCCCCCAAGGTTTTCCTATAGTTGCTGGGTGTTTGTCTTCCCCCCCCACCATTTCCCATGTTTTCCCATATGTGCTGGGACATCGGCGATGAATTGTGTCTGTGTGTTTCTTTTCCTCCTGAGAGCCACAGCGCCCACGCGGAGAAGATCCACGCCAGCACGCGGTGCTCGCTCTGCCGGGTCTGGCACTCGAGGGTGCCGAGCGGGTCGCTCAGCTTGGCCACGACGAAGCAGACGATGATGCAGGCGATGAGCGCCTGGCAGGAGACGTAGTAGACGTCGAACGGTGTCCAGTGCTGCACCTTGGGCAGGCGGTGCTCCACGAAGAAGCGGAAGGTCGTCATGGTGAGAACAACCTTGAGAGCGTCTGGCATCCTCTTGCCCAGGTCCTTTGCCCTGACCAGGTAGAGGGAGAACACCAGCGTGGTCAGGCAGGTGAGAACGCCAATGACCTGCACCAGGTAGAAACGAGACCGCCGCTCCACCAACATCGTGATGGTCGCGAGCCTTGGGAGAGGCCACTCGTGGTCGACACTGAGCGAGACGTCCTGCAGCTTCCAGTCGTCGAGCCTCGAGCCCCGGTCCGTACTCTCACAGCAACTTCCCACCAGGAAGCGGTCCGGGCAATTCTCGAGCGCGAGCTCGATCTCCAGCCTCTGGCGGTCAAAGGGGAAGCTGCGCAGGTCGAACCTGTTGTAGAGGCGCGCGTGGAACTGAATGTGGCAGGAGCAGTGGCCCGTTGCGGCGTCCAAGACTTTGACATCGGAGCAATCCTCCATGATGATCTTTATTGCATTGCGCACCTTGATGTTTGGCACTACCGCCTGTTCCTCGGCTGGCAGCGCACTGCTGTTGGTGCGCCTCTGCTGGTGCAGGTGCACCCCTGCAGTGTCAAACCAATCCAGAAAGACATGGAATTTTGACTCCACCGTGCCGGAGCTGGTGTCCACGTCAGAAATGAGCTGGACCTTGGCACCGACATTGATGGCCGCCCTCTGGTCTTGCTTGCTGATGTCGACACTGCTGAACCGTTCATGTTTAGAGTTCGCCTGACGAGACACGGGCGACTCTGGCAACACACAGGGGCGCATGAGGGCTACCTCCCGCCCTATGGAAGCCTGGTCGACGGCCTGGGCGTTGCGATGGTTCGCGTCCAGCTCCCGCATGGCGCGGCGGCTTCCCCTCAGCGACCTGTGCACTTGGAGCGCAGTTACGGCGTTCATGAGCACCCAAGCCAGGAAGACAGCGCAAGCGACGCTCGAATCGCAGACCTTGCTGGACTCCTCCCAGCCCTCCAGCTGGTTCAGGGCGCAGCAGAGTGCCGCGCCGCTGCCTACGCAGAAGAGCATCGCCAAATTGTTCAACGACACTCGATCGTAAGCGGTAGTCCGGGCGATGCGGGGCAGCTTGCTGGATACGGCGAGCTTGGCAACAATCTGAACGAGCAACACGCCGACCAAGATTTTCCCCCTATTCTGGAAATCGCTGACATCAAGGGCGTACAACGAGAAGCCGGCGACACACCACAAGCACAGCGACACCATATTCAAGACATAGTAGCGGCTGGAGCGCTTGATCTTCACTCCAACGGAAGCCCACGATATGCCCATCCGACGGCCACATGCTGAGACGTCTCCGAGCACGATCCACTCGCCCACCCGCGCCACGTCTGCGCAATCCAGGTGCTCGATCACCAGGCTGCGGTGCCGATCGCCTGGGTCTGGGAGCATGACCACCACCTCGAGGACCTGCTCGTCGAACGGGAACTGTGCCAAGTGAAGCCGCATCTGCACCGACGCCTTGATCTGCACCTGGCAGGTGACGTGGCCAGTGGCACCGTCGACCACGCGCGCACCGTCGAGCACCTTGGCAGAGCAGCCGATGGCGTTCTGGACCATGAGCTTGGGCTGCTGCAGGCGCCCCAGCTGCTCGCTGGACAGCTCGGAGCCCGCGGCGATGCCCACCGCACCCGGGCTGAGCCACTCGAGCCTCGCCACGAGCTCGGCCTGGAACGTGCCGCCGGCCGGGTTCACCGAGTGGATGCTCTTCATCACGATGCGCAGCATCACCGCCGAGGAGGCGCTTCCCTGGATGTCGCCCGCGTCGGGTCTCACGTGCTGCAGCTGCGCGCACTGCTCCTCGAAGCCGGGCGCATCGCTGCTCCAGTGGGTCCGTGTGCACGTGAGCGCGGCGGTCGTCTGGCGATCGTTGCTCCGCCGCGCGAGCCAGACGCTGAGCGCGAAGTAGACGTTGAACGCCACCCACAAGAGAGCGGATATCATGGCGGCGTAGGTGCGGTAAGACTGCACTGAGCCGACTCCATAGAGTCGCGCAAAGCCACGAGACGCGGTACAGATGACGATGGTCCCCAGCAACATCATCTCACATGCAATCATGTACCGATCAAAGCTGGTGGCGCTAGCAACGGTGGGCAGCTTGCCTGACGCAGTCAAGAGCTTGAACGCGAGGAGGGTCATGACGAGGGGCACCAAGATCTTCCCTTGATTTGCGAAATCCATGCCGCTGGAGTCCATCGGAATCACATACACGGTGAACACCAACGACGAGATCCCCAGCAGGACAGCCATCACGCTCACCACGTAGAAGAAGGAGCGCCGCTGCAGGTGGATCTGGAGCGACGCCGTCGGCACGCCGTTGCCCGTGTCTGGGTCCACCGTGTGGCCTCTGACGAACCACTCGTCCAGCATCTGGGCGCTCTCTCCCAGCTGGCCGCCGCAGTGCACGAAGGCGCGCCTCTCATCCTTTCGGAGATGGACAGACCTCCCTTTAGTAAAACGTGGTTTAGTGAAAACGACCTCGGGCCCAAACCTGGCGGGCGCAAGCCTGGAAAATAACGGCCGCGGCGCCCTCTCGAGAACCGAAAACGGACAATTCACTAATCGACGTGTCACTGTTAGGAGGTCTGTCCACCCCCGATCCTTCTCGTGAGGCATGATGATGTGGACGGGCAGGGTGTGGGAGTCGAAAGGGAACTCCCGCAAATTCAAGTTCATCTGCAGCTTGGCGTGGAACCGAGACGTCGAGAGGACCCGGCCACTGGAAGAGCAGGCCACGCACACGCGGGGGCCCTCCTCCAACACCAGCTCGACCTTGTTGTGCACATCCAGCTCGGGGACGTCGACCAGGCTGAGCTGCTGGGCCGTCAGCGGCGCCCCCTCCGGCAGGCCCACGGCCCCCTCGTGGAGCCATCCGAGGGTGACGGAGAACTTGCACTCGAAAGTGCCAGTCAGGGGGTTGATGTCGTGAAGCAGCCACACGTGCACGTCCAGGGACACCGCCTGGCTCACCCGGCGGCTCATGACAGACCTTCGCTCGAGCGTAGACTCACGATAGTGGAGGCCCGCTTGTAAGGTGGCCAGCTGTTTCTGAAGTGCGTCCGCCTCCGCCGCCTGAGGTGAGCCCTGGCTGGAGCTCGACAGCTGCAGCAACGAACAGCGCTGCTCGCGCCGCTGGCGTATGACTCTCTGCAGCCCGGCGAGGTGCCCGAGCGACCACATGCAGAAGAGCAGGGCGCCACAGGCCCGGTCCAAGGTGCCGGTAGCATGGCGAGCACGATGGCCAAAGATGTCCTGGTCGCACATGCTGACCAGGATGAAGCCGAGTATCATCCCCAAGACCATGACCTGGCAGAACATTGCGTACATATCGAAGATCGTGGCGTAGGCCACCTTCGGAAGCTTGTTGTCCTGCGCGAGGCGGAAGGTGATCTGCGCGAAGAGGATGGCGATCCCGAAGCGGAGACGGTCCCACACCTCCGCGGCGGGCAGCACGTAGGCCGCGAAACTCGAGGTGGCAATGGCCAGCAGGGTGGTGAAGACGGTCACGACGTAATACCCATAGCGCCGGGATATCATCACGCCGAACTGGATGCGGGCGCGCCCGTCCTGAAGCGGGAGCAGCGGCACAAGCACAACGTCTCGGAGCCCCTTGCGGATTTCTCTTGGACTGGCGCTGCGACCCCGCCAAAGGGGGGCCCAAGCGCCGATCCGAGAAATCCGCGCGGACCTCCGCGAAATTATGCGTATGCCTCGGCGGTGGACCAAACTCCTTTTAGCAAACCTCCCCTTAGTGAAAACGGCCTGGGACCGAAACCGACGGACCTGGACCCGCAAACATGACGGCCGCGACGCCGTCTCGCGAACCGACAACGGCCAATTCCTTAATCGACGTGTCAGGCTAGGAGGTCGATCCACCTCCGAATGCCCCTTTTTCTCTGCCTCGACGTCCGGAGAGTCGCTGTGCGCAAAGGTGCGCATGACGCGCCACTCCTCCAGGCGGATCTGCGCGTCCGCGAGGCACGACTGGCACGCCAGCGCGCGGCGCCGGTCCCGCCGGGCCCGCAGGCCCAGCACGAGGACGAGGCGCTGGGCGTCGAAGGGGAAGAGGCGCATGTCGAGCTCCATCTGCACGAGCGCCTCGTAGCGTATCGTGCACGCCACGTGGCCCGTGGCTGGGTCCACGACCTGTTAGGAGGCAACTCCTGGAAGGTCTTAGGAATTCCTAAGGATTCATAAGAATTCCTAAGGATTACTAGGAATTCCTAAGGATTCCCAGGAATTCCTGAGGATTCCTAGGAATTCCAAAGGATTCCTAGGAATTCCTAAGGATTCTTCAGAGCGATGGCTATTGAGCCCGGCTGCCCTGCTCAAGCTCGGGACTGAGCTGGATTGGACCGGACTAGGCCCAGGCGGGATTAAACCAGGTTGAATGGGATTGTGCCGGATACTGCTGGTTGCCGACCGAGAATATACCAGCGATGCTGCTCCTAATGCCGAGAGTATTCCAAGAGTTGCATACCAAGACCTGGGGAGGCGATTGGACCTTCTTGCTGGTGGCCAGGGTGTTCTGCAGCTCGATCTCGGGGATGTTCAGGACCCCATGCACTCCCTCCCCGAGGTTACCCTCGGGAAGGCCCGCTGCGGAGGAGTCCAGCCACTCGAGGAATACTGTGAAACAGCACTGGAACGTGGCGTTCAGCGGGTTCACATTGCGAATCGATTGGATCATGCACGAGCACGCCACGGCCTGGTCCGAAAATTCGCTCGTGCAATCGGCATGCGCGATCATCTTGAACCGCAGATTGCTGCGTAGGCTTCGCAGCTGGTCGTAGAGGGGGAGCAGACGCGACTGGCACTCGTCGTACTCGTACGTCTTTAAGGGCATGACGGAGACCTCCGAGCTGCGAGTGCTGCGGAGCGGCGTGCCGTAGTCAGAGGCCACGCTCGTCGTGCTGCAATTATTGCGGCGCCCGATGAGGGACGGGAGCAGGCGGGCGAGACCGGCGCCGGCGGAGCCCTCCTTGCCGACGCCGTCGCTCCGCGGGGCCGCCTCCGCCGCAGCGGCGTCGCCGTCCCCGGGCGCGTCCGCGGGGTGCTCGCTGCTGCGGGGTGCGAAGTGCATCTGGCGCGTCTGGTGGAAGCACGGCAGGCCAGGGTACGCCGCAACGTTGACGTGCTCCACCTCGAAGCATTCGAGGTCGCTCCGGTACCGCACCAGGTCCATGGCCTCGTCCCGCCCGAAGTGTGAGCCGGGCCCTGCCGGGGCGCCAGGGCGCCCCGCCGCCGCGCTCGACAGGTTGAAATGCACGTGGCTGGAGGTCATCACACGCCGCAGCTTCCCTGTCTCTACGTCCCTCTCCAGGCGAGAGACACCCTTTTCCACCTCGTCCATCAGAGACAGCAGCGAATCGTGCACGAATTTGCCCCACAAACTAACGTTCACGCCGCCGATCTCGAGGAAGACGCGCATCTGGGCCGGGTCCGTGGGGATGCTGGCCACGGGCTCAAATGAGGCCTCTTGGCTCTGGGGTGAGCCCGCGTCCGAGGAGGAGAACGCCTCGAAGGCCGGGAAGCCCTTCGCCTTGCTCTCGCGGGCCTCCTTGATGTCGGTCCACCTCCAGACGTTGACTTTGTCGTCCTCGGGGGTCTCGAACTCCTCCTCCAAGATTCCGATCTCCCGGAGCCTGCTGAGACCTGAACCGACCAGCTGCACGCTGCAGTAGTGCGTCGTGTACACGCAGGCGAGGCCCGGATAAGAGGGCGATTCGAGGTGCTCTGCCAAGCAGCAGTAGGACTCATGCATGAAGCGGAAGTAGTCCTTCGGGGGCGACAGGTCCTCCGGCAGGTTCAGCTCTTCGAAGAGGCCGCGGATGCACGTGTCGGCGGCGTCGGCGTCCTCCGGTGACATCTTCTCCGCCAGTAGCATGTTGCGCTTGCGGCAGGTTCCGTTTGTGAAACGCTGCTCCGCCTCCACCAGCACCAGCTTGCCCCAGCGCAGTTGCATGAACACGGGCTCCACCACCCGCCGCAGGCTTGGCGGGCTCTCCGTCCACTCCAGGCGCGAGTCGCCCTTCTGTACCTCTTTGATGAGCGACGACAGGGGCTTCGCTTTCCCCACCCCGTACTTCGTGGGGTCGATCCCAGCGGCCCGCAGGTAGCCCGCCAATGCCTCCTCGCTGGGGAGGTCCTCGGGCCCCAGCATGCGCGTTCCCGTTCCCAGGGGCGCGCCGCCATCTGCGGAGGTCGACCGAGGGCAGCTCGCGGACAGCGCCTTGGGTGGGAATTTCACCACTCTGTCACCCAGCGCCTCCTCGATGCCGCTCCACTTCCAGAAGTTTGTGGTGGTGCCGAGCGGGGTGGTCTCCAGAGTGGTGAAGGGGTTGCACTCCGGCAACCCACGGCCCGCGAACGCGGGCAGACCGCCGTCGAGGATGTCGACCTGCACGTGGTGCGTGCGGTAGACCGAGACCATGCCCGGGTAGGAAGGTGAATCGATCTGCTCGATCTCGAACTGGTAGGCGTCCGGCCGATAGCGGAGCACGCCGTCCTGCAGCAACGCCTCGCGCGGAATGCTGAGCTTCTCGCGAATCCCCCGCACTACGGCGGCCATGATGCCGCCGCCGTCGCTGGGCTCCATCTTCTCCGCGAGCAGCATGTTGCGTTCGCGGAAGCGCCCATCCAGCATCTTCTGCGAGTCCTGGACCAGCACGCACCCGCGCCAGCGCAGGCGGACGAAGATCGGCTCCACGATGCGGAGCACCACTGGGCTCTCCTTCTTCGGAGGCTCGTCCCCGCTGCTGCCAGGGCCGCGGCTCTGGAGCTCCAAGTGGCAAGCCTGCGCGCGGAGCTCCGCCAGGAGCTCCGCTACTGTCTTCGCGGAACCCACGCCGAAGAGCCGAGTGCTGACACCGTGCTCCTCCAGGAAGCGGCCGAGGGCGTCCTCGCTGCGCAGCCACGGCGCCAGGGCCACGCCGTCGGGCTCAGCCTTGGGCCCCTCCGTGGCAGCGCTCCTCGTGCTCTCCGCTTGCTTGAGGGGCGGTGCGGCGTCGCCGGGGAAGCTCGCGCTGCGGCGCCCGATGAGGGACGGGAGCAGGCGGGCGAGACCGGCGCCGGCGGAGCCCTCCTTGCCGACGCCGTCGCTCCGCGGGGCCGCCTCCGCCGCAGCGGCGTCGCCGTCCCCGGGCGCGTCCGCGGGGTGCTCGCTGCTGCGGGGTGCGAAGTGCATCTGGCGCGTCTGGTGGAAGCACGGCAGGCCAGGGTACGCCGCAACGTTGACGTGCTCCACCTCGAAGCATTCGAGGTCGCTCCGGTACCGCACCAGGTCCATGGCCTCGTCCCGCCCGAAGTGTGAGCCGGGCCCTGCCGGGGCGCCAGGGCGCCCCGCCGCCGCGCTCGACAGGTTGAAATGCACGTGGCTGGAGGTCATCACACGCCGCAGCTTCCCTGTCTCTACGTCCCTCTCCAGGCGAGAGACACCCTTTTCCACCTCGTCCATCAGAGACAGCAGCGAATCGTGCACGAATTTGCCCCACAAGCTAACGTTCACGCCGCCGATCTCGAGGAAGACGCACATCTGGGCCGGGTCCGTGGGGATGCTGGCCACGGGCTCAAATGAGGCCTCTTGGCTCTGGGGTGAGCTCGCGTCCGAGGAGGAGAACGCCTCGAAGGCCGGGAAGCCCTTCGCCTTGCTCTCGCGGGCCTCCTTGATGTCGGTCCACCTCCAGACGTTGACTTTGTCGTCCTCGGGGGTCTCGAACTCCTCCTCCAAGATCCCGATCTCCCGGAGCCTGCTGAGACCTGAATCGACCAGCTGCACGCTACAGTAGTGCGTCGTGTACACGCAGGCGAGGCCCGGATAAGAGGGCGATTCGAGGTGCTCTGCCAAGCAGCAGTAGGACTCCTGCATGAAGCGGAAGTAGTCCTTCGGGGGCGACAGGTCCTCCGGCAGGTTCAGCTCTTCGAAGAGGCCGCGGATGCACGTGTCGGCGGCGTCGGCGTCCTCCGGTGACATCTTCTCCGCCAGTAGCATGTTGCGCTTGCGGCAGGTTCCGTTTGTGAAACGCTGCTCCGCCTCCACCAGCACCAGCTTGCCCCAGCGCAGTTGCATGAACACGGGCTCCACCACCCGCCGCAGGCTTGGCGGGCTCTCCGTCCACTCCAGGCGCGAGTCGCCCTTCTGTACCTCTTTGATGAGCGACGACAGGGGCTTCGCTTTCCCCACCCCGTACTTCGTGGGGTCGATCCCAGCGGACCGCAGGTAGCCCGCCAATGCCTCCTCGCTGGGGAGGTCCTCGGGCCCCAGCATGCGCGTTCCCGTTCCCAGGGGCGCGCCGCCATCTGCGGAGGTCGACCGAGGGCAGCTCGCGGACAGCGCCTTGGGTGGGAATTTCACCACTCTGTCACCCAGCGCCTCCTCGATGCTGCTCCACTTCCAGAAGTTTGTGGTGGTGCCGAGCGGGGTGGTCTCCAGAGTGGTGAAGGGGTTGCACTCCGGCAACCCACGGCCCGCGAACGCGGGCAGACCGCCGTCGAGGATGTCGACCTGCACGTGGTGCGTGCGGTAGACCGAGACCATGCCCGGGTAGGAAGGTGAATCGATCTGCTCGATCTCGAACTGGTAGGCGTCCGGCCGATAGCGGAGCACGCCGTCCTGCAGCAACGCCTCGCGCGGAATGCTGAGCTTCTCGCGAATCCCCCGCACTACGGCGGCCATGATGCCGCCGCCGTCGCTGGGCTCCATCTTCTCCGCGAGCAGCATGTTGCGTTCGCGGAAGCGCCCATCGAGCATCTTCTGCGAGTCCTGGACCAGCACGCACCCGCGCCAGCGCAGGCGGACGAAGATCGGCTCCACGATGCGGAGCACCACTGGGCTCTCCTTCTTCGGAGGCTCGTCCCCGCTGCTGCCAGGGCCGCGGCTCTGGAGCTCCAAGTGGCAAGCCTTCGGAGGGACCGTATTCAATAGCGACATCGCTGCTCCTTAGACCTATCCTGGATGGTTTCGGACACCGATTCTGAAGCAAATCCTTCCGACAGCGGCTGGGCCCTACAGAAGGGCCCGAGTGAAAACGAGGGGAACACATCGGTATCGGATTTGTTTCTCGACCATTCCCGTGATGTTGGGTCCTCGCTTTGAGGAGACAGTGCCCCGCGTCGCACCTCCTCCTCCCGCTCGCTCCTGGCTCCTCCCATCCAAGCCCCTGTCCTCCGCATGTCCACTACAGCAAACCCCTCCCACGTTCCGTAGTCCGATAGGGAGCTCCACCGAAGGCCCAACGGCCAGGGTTCGCATGGCGTCGATGCTTCATTTTGGCACGCCCCTTACACGTTTCGTGGCCCCATAGAAAGCTCCAGTCAGGGCTTACATGCCAAGGCTCGCTTGGCGCCGGTGCCTCATTTTGGCACGCCCCTTACACGCTTCGTGGCCCATGAGGGGTGCCAGCCCAAGGCCCGCGTAACAGGATTTGCATGGCGTCGGTGCCCCATTTCGGCACACTCCTCACACGCTCCGTGGCCTCATAAAAGGGGGCTCCAGCCAAGGCCCACATGCCAAGGTTCGCATTGCATCGGTGCCTCACTTCGGCACCCCGCAGACGTTGCGTGGCCCGTAGGTCAGGTCAGAAGCCGTGCATCTGTGAGACGCATTGGCAAAAGCATCCGGATCGCTAGTGGACCGATGCTTGGCGGTGCGCCTGCTTGTAGGTGTAAAAAATACCTCTGGGTTGCGATAGCGCGCGGCGGAAAACGGAGTGCGACACGACTGTGAAGCAGAAGCACAAAGCGCATCACGACTGTGACGCCGTAGGGAGCCCAAATAAGGCCCACATGCCGGGGTTCGCATGGCGTCGGTGCCTACATGCGGCGTCGGTGCTTCATTTCGACACGTTTCGTGGCCCCACCGGGAGCCCCAGCTGAGGCCCAAATGCCAGGGTTCGCATGGCGTCGGTGCCTCATGTCGGCACACCCGTCACACGTTTCGCTGACCCATGGGGAGCTCCAGCCAGGCCAAAACTTTCCTGGCCCCGTGGGGGGCCCCAGCTAAGCCCCCAAAGCCAAGGTTCGCATGGTGTCGGTGCCTCGTTTTAGCACACCCTTCACACGCTTCGTGGCCCCATAGGGAGCCCAAACTAAGGCCCACATGCCAAAGTTTGCATGGAGTCGGTGCCTCAATTCGGCGTCGATGCTTCGTTTCGGCACGCACACACACACTTTGATCTGCGGGGCGAGAGCGAACCTCTTCAGCTAAAAGCTAGGCGGGCTACGCACAGCTTTAACGGCACGCACACACACACACACACCACACACACACCACACACACCACACACACACACACCTCACACGCTTCGTGACCCCATAGGGAGCCCCAGCTGAGGCCCAGATGCCAGGGTTCGCATGGCGCCGACAGCGATGCTCACAACGACGGTACCCGCAACTGCACGTGGCTGGGTCCTTCGGCAGGGTGCTTTTTTCTTATGTGAGGCCTGCTCGCGGAGCTCCGCCAGGAGCTCTCTCACCGTCTTGGCGGAGCCCGCGCCGAAGAGCCGAGTGCTCACGCCGTGCTCCTCCAGGAAGCGGCCGAGGGCCTCCTCGCTGCGCAGCCACGGCGCCAGGGCCGCGACGTCGGGCCCGGACGTGGGCCTCTCCTGGCCCTCGGGGCGCGCACGGGAGGACAGAGAGGACCCCGCGGTGCCCATGGTGCTGAGACTCGGCGGCGAGCGCAGGGGGGGAAGGCGAGAGGGAGAAGGCCTTCTCAGAAGGCGGCGGGACTTCTCAGAGGCCCTCTCGCCTGCCGAACAGTTTTCTGTGTCTTCTGGGAAAACTTAGAGCACTTCTTAGAAGGCCTGGGGGCCTCCGAGCCTTTCTGAGAATGCCCGCTCCTTCTCACCCCCCCCCGAGCTCGCAGCCGAGAGACGGCTTGATCGGGGTGCTCGACCTATGTGACAGGTAAGGCGGGTACTTGGACCTGTGTGACAGGTAAGTTAGGGCAGGACGGTGCTGGGGGCACACCGCTGGCTGCAAGAAGGCCGGGGCCAAAACGGCTGCGGATGACGAAGAAGCGAAGTTCCGTTGGGAAGGGCGAGTGTGGGGAGGAAGACTTCTCCACGATCTCTCCCCTAGTTGATGGGTAGGATGACAGCGTTCAACGAGCAAGTGAGTGAGATAAGGGAGGGTTGCGGTCGATGGGGGCACGTGTGCAAGCTAACCCGACCAACCACGCCTGGCCGGCACTCTTACGCAACGCACCATCTGCTCCCAAACACACAACGAGTGGCGCATCGCCGGAAGCGTGCGGCAATTCTCTGCCGCGGTGGTGGGCTCCGGATTCTGTCGCGGCGCGAAACATTCGATCTTGAATGACCTCAGCTGACGGGTTCCTCAGAGGCTGCCCGGGAGTTCAATCGTGAACGTCCACGCCCGCGCTGCCACCGCGACTAGATTGCAAGACCCTGCACCGTACACCGAGCCTGGTCCGAAGGTTTCCCAAGATACCACGTGTGCACTGAGGAGCCCTAGCTCGGCTCATAAACAATCGCCTTCGTCTGCGTGGATTGGGGTCCCTCCCATTTGCCTCGGGCGTCAGGGTTGCGGTGGTGCCGGCTTGCGAGGGCACTGTGAGGCCATGAGGAACAGTACTACCAATCACCCAACAGCCCGCCTATGACTGCATTGGGGATGCACGCATCAGATACTCATTCGCGCTATAAGAAATGCAGGTCGGTACATCCCATGACGATCTCAAACCAAAGCAGCGCGTGGATCACCAAACAATTAATGACCCCCTTTCGGCAGAAGACCCAGAACAACTTTCCAAAAAGGCTCGGCAGTTCACATCGTGGCCCTTACTACTACTGGTACTCTTGCGACAGGTAATACGAATACTAATGCGTACGTGTTTTCCAGCACTACTCGTAGTACGACAGCTACTGCGAATGCTAGCACGGGGGGCACTAATACGCCACAGGATGCCACGGCAAGCAAGGGAGGACACTGGAGGCAACGGGAAGCGGGGATGCAAAAGGAGGCGACGGGCAACACCATGGCACCTCCGACTCCTGATCCGGAAGTCCATGTACTAGAACTCAGCGATCTGTTGATGTGCGTATAGACATACGTTCTTCACCTAATCCTCTAAGCCTCAATCTCCACCACTGGGGAATCTTCAAAGGGCAACGAGCCCAAATTGCCAGATCTCTCGGGGCTTGCCGCAGCTTGTCGGGGGCTTCCTACTAGAACTCAGCGATATATTGATGTGCGTATATACATACGTTCTTTACCTGATCCTCTAAGCCTCAATCTCCACTCCTGGGGAATCTTCAGAGGGCAACGAGCCCACATTGCCAGATCTCTCGGGGCCTGCCGCAGCCTGTCGGGGGCTTCCCGCGGCTGGTCGCATGGCTCTCTCGGGCCCAAGAGGGGCCCCAAGACGGGCCCAGGAGCCCCCCAGAGGCTCCATCGACGGCCCAAAAGACCTCCAAGATACCCCAAGGAGTGTTCCAAGAGGGGTCCCAAGAGGGCGCCAGGAGGCCAAACTCATTGATTGTCCGAATTGTTGTTGCAAATGTTTGGCCTTCTCGCCTATTCAGCTTTCCGACGCCCCAAGACGATCCAACAGGCCTCTCAGAGGGCCCCAAAACGGCCCATCATGGCCTCACGGCGGACATTTCGAGCCCTCGGCCCCGAGTGACTCCCAGGAGGCCCCCGAAGGCCCCCAAGAGGCCCCCAAGAGGCCGCAAAGAGGACCCCAAGAAGCTCCCAGGAGGCGCCGAAACTGCCCCCAAGAGGCCCCCGAAAGCGCTCCGAAGAGACCCCGAGAAGCATCCGAAAACTCTGACCCACAACCCAGGCACGGTGGCGGGATCGGCCCAAGGCCTTGCATTTTCCGAAGAAAGCGGGAGAGAGATAGGAACAGCAAGAACGCGAGAGAAAGAGAGAGAGAGAGAGAGAGCAAAATAGAGAGAGAGAGACAGAGAGAGAGAGAGAGAGAGAGAGAGAAAAACAAAAAGAGACGAACAAAGAGCGAGAGAGAGAGAGAGAGACAGAGAGAGAGAGAGGGAGAGACGGAGAGAGAGAGAGAGAGAGAGAGAGAGAGAGACAGAGAGAGCGAGAGAGAGAGAGAGAGAGCGAGAGAGAGAGAGAGAGAGCGAGAGAGAGAGAGAGAGACAGAGAAGGAGAGAAGGAATGAAGGAGAGATAGAGAAAGAGAGAGAGAGAGAGAGAACGAACCGATTGGGCCCGGCAGCGTGCGGGCGCCCCACAGACTGGCGGCGGGCGCGCCCCGCGCCCTGGCCGATGCGAGTCGCCCAAAAGGGGGCCCCTCACACCCGTCTTGGGCGGACGGCCACCAGGGCGCCCAAGAAGCCCAAACACGCCCCAAATCGTCGACCATCTATCCTAAGGAGACCCAGGGACGCATATATAGGAAACACACATCCCAGGTTTTTCCCCTCCCTGTACATTTCTGGGTTTTCTTCTTCCCCCCCCCCATACTTTCCTGGGGATCGTCGAGTAATCGTGTCTGTGAGTTGTCCTTCTAGAGCAGGGACCGACCGTCCCGGCATTCCTTTAGTCCTACCACGACATGTTCTCAGAGCCCAAGAATGTGCTAAGAACAAAGACAATGCTCTCAGAACATAAGCCCGACGTGTTCAAACAAGACAGGCTCCGCCAGACATGTTCTAAGAGCATTTCGTGGAAACCACATAAGGTTCTTAGAACA